AAATTCTATTATTCATGTATTCCATTTGCAATCCAAGGAAAAATTTTGTTCTTCCCAAATCTTTCATTTCAAATTCTTTCTTTAAGAAATTTATAACTTTTGAAAGCTCTTCAGATGTTCCAATTATATTTATGTCATCAACATAAACAGCAATTATAGCAAACTCTTTTCTAGATCTTTTCATAAAAATACAAGGACAAATTGGTTGATTTTTGTATCCTTCTTTTAATAGATATTCACTAAGTCGATTATACCACATACACCCTGATTGTTTTAATCTATATAAGGATTTATTTAACTTGTCAAATAATTTTCTCAAAAACTTGAATTGTATGCTTCTAGTGATTTAAATCCTTCAAGGAGTTTCATGTAAATGTCACTATTAAGTGAACCATACAAATAAGCTATAACAACATCCATTAGATGCAAATTGAATCCTTCACTTGTTGTCAGGCTACTTAAATATCAAAAAGTAGTTGCATCCACCACTGGTGAGTATGTTTCAACAAAATCAATTTCAGGCCTTTGTGTAAATCCTTGAGCCACAAATCGTGCCTTATATCTTACAATTTCACCATTTTCATTTCTTTTTCACACAAAAACCTATTTATATCCAACTGGCTTGATACCTTTAGGTGTGTGGACTACAAGTCCAAAAATATTTTGCTTTTCAAGTGATTTTAATTCTGCCTCAATTGCATCTTTCTATTTTGGCCGATCCTCTCTTTGTTTGCATTCTTTAATGTGCTTTGGTTTATGATCCTCATTATCATTTGTTACATCAAGTGCTACATTATATACAAAAATATCATCAATATTGACTTCATTCTAGTCCCATTGTATTCAATTTATAACATAATTTATTGATATCTCATTATTTTTACACACATTCTAGTCCCATTGTATTCAATTTATAACATAATTTATTGATATCTCATTATTTTTACACATTTCAAGTACCTGAGTTTCTTTTGGAATTGAAATTTTAGTAGTGTCAAGTGACTCTTCATGAGTTACTAACTCTTCTTGATTATTCTCAATCTGACTATCAGTGTTTCTAGCTCCTTTTCTTTTTCAAGGATTTTTATCTTTGGAATCAATAGGCCTTCCACGTTTTATGCGTGGTTTAGAATCATTTGTAATAACAGGCTGTCCAGTCGGGACATTAATTCTAATTGGAGCATTGACAGCTAGAATATGTGATTTAGTTACTTTCTTTAGGTTAGTAAATGCATCTGGTAATTGATTTGCTAAATTTTGTAAATGAATTATCTTTTGAACTTTTAGTTTACACTGCTTTGTATGAAGATCAAGATGAGATAATGATAATTAATTCCAACTAATTTCTTTTTCCAATTGCTTATTTTCTCCTCCTAATATTGGGAAAATTGATTCATCAAAATGACAGTCAGCAAATCGAGCAATAAATAAATCTCTTGTTGATGGTTCTAAATATTTAATTAGAGATGAAGATTCATATCCAACATATATTCCCATCCTTCTTTGAGGACTCATCTTAGTACATTGTGGTGGAGCAATTGGAACATATACTGCACATCCAAAAATTCTTATATGGGAAATATTAGGTTCTTGACGAAAAACCAATTCTTAAAGGGAGCTTTTAAGATAACTTGTTGGCTTGATATGAATTAATGTTGCTACATGTAAAATTGCATGCCCCCAAGTAGAAATTGGGAGATTCAATTGCATAAGAAATGGTCGTGCAATTAATTGTAAGCATTTAATCAGTTATTCTGCAAGTCCATTTTGTATATGAACATGTGTTACATGATATTCAACATCAATTCTAAGAGCCATGCAATATTCATTAAAATCTTGTGAAGTAAATTCACTAGCATTATCTAAATATATTTTCTTAATAGGATAATTAGGTAAGTGTGCTCTTAATCTAATAAGTTGAGCAAGCACTCTCATATACGCCAAGTTGAAGATGACAAGAAAACCATTTTGTTGACGCTTCAATTAAATCCATAAAGTACTTAAATGGTCTACATGATGGGTGTACAGGCCCACAAATATCACTTTATATGCATTCTAGAAATGTGAGACTCACTTTTCATTTTTGTTGGTGATGGTCGAATAATTAACTTTCCTTTAGAACATGCAGCACATGAAAAATCATGGGATTGTAAAATCTGTTAACCTTTCAATAAATGTCCACATGATTTTTCGATTACCTTTTACATCATAATTGACTCGGGATGGCCTAACCAGTCATGCCAAACATTGAATTTATTGCATTTGTAAACTTCTGGTTTACAATAGCATGTATTTCAATTGTATTAATAAATGTGTATTAGAAGCTAGAGGAAATGTAGGTAGTTTTTCTAGTGTGCACTTTTTAATAGAAATTAAATTCATGATAGTAAAATATTCTCTATTTTCTTCATTTGTTGTGTCAATATAGTATCCGTTTCTATGAATATCCTTAAAACTCAATAAGTTTCTACTAGACTTAGTAGAATAAAATGCATCATCAATGTGTAATTTAGTTCCTCTAGGAAAAAATATATTAGCTCTTCAAGAGCCATCAATTATCTTTATACTTCCATATATAGTTTGAACATTAGCTTGCATTACCAAAGAAGAAAAATATTTTTTATTTTTGAGTATTGTATGAGTTATTGCACTATCAAAAGACACATATCTCCATTATTGTCATTGGTACCAATCAGATGAATACTCATTTTTCATTAAAAAACATAAAAATATAAAATTAAAACATGGAATACAAATAACTTTATTCATTGAAAAAAAACATCATAAGTAAATTATATAAAACAAAACGTTATAAGTAAATTCTTTATTCCAATGCAAGAAAATTAAAATGACACTTAATTATAAAATTTAACAACATTAATATCTAAGAAATTTATTTCTAGACATTTCCATCCCCAATCAGGTGATCAATTCTTCCATTAAGATCGGCAAAGAAATCAGCAACATCCAAATGAGTAACATCTATGTCACCATAATCAGAATTGCCTTCTTCAGAAGTAAAATGTGTTTCTATCTTTGTCTCTTTGTTTTTACTTTTACTTTTAAGCAATTCTAGGTAAAGATTACTTTTAAGCAAAATGTTTCAGTATTATTATTATTATCCCCACTTGTTCCTTTTTGTGTTTCTCTTCATTATTTGTCCACTTCTAGTCGAAAGATGTATTACCATGACCACAGCCATAACCCCGAGCTGATTCATTTGGCACTGCATTCACTTCAAGGAATGGGGTAGAACCAATTGGATGAGATTTATGATTCTTCATTAAAAGCTTGTTATTTTGTTCAGCCACAAGAAGACAAGAACTCAATTCAAAATATTTTTTAAAACCTTTTTCATGATATTGCTACTGCAAGAGCACGTTGGATGCATGAAATGTGAAAAATATTTTTTCTAACATATCATCATCAGTGACTTTTTCTCCATATAATTTCAATTAAGAACTGATTTTAAAAATTGCAAAGTTATAATCACTCACAGATTTAAAATCTTGTAAATGTAAATGCATCCAATCATAACGAGCTTTTAGAAGAATTACAATTTTCTGATGGTCATACCTTTCTTTTAAATTGTTCTAAAGAACAAAGGGGTCATTTATAGTCAAATACTCAGTTTTCAACCCTTTATGTAAATAGTGACGAAGAAAGATCATAGCCTTGACCTTATTTTGACTGGATGCTTGATTACCATCCTTGTAACACTAGCCTTGAGTGTTATCCAAAAATCACATAATTCAAACAAACTAAGTGTGGTTAAGGAGTTGATCCTCTAACCAACTTAAGAAATAAATCATTTAAAACCTTAAAAATAATTATAGGTTCTACCTATAGCGCACGGAAGCAAGTTAGACGAAAATGGAATAAAAAGATGCTGTCATGACAGTAATTTATTGCTGTCATGACAGCCCTCCTGGGCCAACTTCCAGGAGGCGGTGTTCCGTAATTTGACCTCCGATTGAAGTGATTTTAAAGCTCACACGTCACATTCAAAGGGTACTATAAGTGTACCAAATTTCAAAAAGATCCAACGGTCGGATTAAAAATTAGACATGTTAAAAGATTGACTATTTTTGCTGTCATGACAGCTAAAAAGCTGTCATGACAGCACTTCCGGACCAACTTCCGGAGTGCACCATTTCATCATCTGACCTCCGATCGGAGTGATTCCAAAGCCCACATGTCACTTTTAAAGAATACTATTAGCATACTAAATTTTGAAAAGATCCAACGGACGGATTGAATTTTGTGCAGGTTACAAAATCAACACTGTAGCTGTCATGACAGCAATTTAATGCTGTCATGACAGCACCTCCAGACCAAATTCCGGAGTGCGTCGTTTCTCCGTCCGATATCCGATCGATGTGATTCCAAAGCCCACACGAAGCTTATAAAAGGTTTTACTTGTGACCCAAATTTTAGAGAAATCCAACGGTCGGATTAAGATTTGGACATCCGGATGCAAAAGTGCAGCTTTTTGGTAAAAACCATTTTCAAAATTGTCCAAATCCCATCCTAATGGTCACAAACCTGTGGAAACACTTTGGACACGTCAAATAAGATTAAAAACACTTGATAGAACATTCAAATGATGGAAAACCCCCATATATCAAAATTTGACCACCCGGGTGCCATTTCCTAAAATGGATCCTAAACCCCCAAAATATACAAATCATACAAGAGTGGTCACAAATCAATCCAAATACCATGTATTTATATAAATACATATGCTAAACATTTTCACTTGGCTCAGAGCTCCTTGTGGGGCCCACGCACCCACTCTCTCTATCCAAGCTGTATGTTTTCCCATAGCACACCATTTGCAATGCAACCACTTTGCATTTGCTTATAAAATCACATATATATCAAAATAAAGATCTGCTTGTAATAGAAACTTGGTCTACTAAGTAAATCCATCAAAACCACACACCATAACCAAGTTTCCTAGCCACAAGTCTGCAAACAGATAAAAATTCATACACAAGCACACAATCCACACATATTCACACACACACACACATAATCATATCCTACTGGCACCCTAATCTTAAATACATTACAATATATTTGCTCAAAAGAAAGGGGTTGCAGTTCTTTACAAATCACAAGCAAACCCCTAGCTTTGCTCTTTTCCCCGTCCACCACTGGATCCTTCGCCTGGACCTAGAATATTGAAAAGAAAGGGGTGAGACAACCACAGTCTCAGTAACAGTGAAATCTATATTGATTATTACAAAGTAAGCCATAATCAAATAAATGAATAATAAATTCAACATAGTATATAATTTAGCCATTTAAAATGCATGAATGCATGACCTAGGCCGGTATGGCCTTTCATGACCAACAGAATGCCCCCTGGCACTCTTTAACTCGCAGGTAAACCTTATACCTACTTGTACCTCCACAGGCACAAAACATAATCTAAGGCATGATCTAATCCACCGAACCGCCTATGCCCCTTCGACGTGAATCCTGAGCAGTCAAAGCTAACTCCCTCCCAGAGCCAGCCCGACTTACTCTCCATGTGAGGGCTACCTTGGCCTAGGCACTCAACCTCACACTTCATATGTCGGATTCCCTCCCCCACTGAGAGGTGTCGAACACTCAATACACTAATCACTTTAGTGCACTGAGCCCACAATACGTAAGACAACACTGAGTACTGACAGTGTGCCATAGAATATCAAAAATCCACACCTTCTCATTGGTGAACTCCCACCGAGATCATGCCTTTTACTCTTGTCTACCTTTCCTGAGTATTGACCATTCAACACTCTAAAGTAGTATAATATTTATAAATCTCATTTCCATAAAAACATTGTTATTAAACAATTAGAAAACATATTTGCACTGTAATCAAAGTAGTACCCCATAACCCCTTATAAAGCACATTTAATCTTTTAAAACATGTAATGCATGATAACTAGTAATATTTATTCAAAAATAGCTAAAACAAAGTAATAAGAAATATAAATTCCCCTGTTACCTCAACCCTTTGGTACTAAAAGGGTTCCCCTTGTACAAAATAGGGCTCGGCTTGTTCCTTACTTCTCAATAAGTTCCACCAACAATTTTCTACAACATATAAGTGATCCACATCACTTATCATGACAAATAGTATTAATGAAGACTATAACTTATACCACACAACTTAGGTCAATGAGTCATAATCCACCCTAATGGTCCATATATTAAACCAACCATTCACATAGTATCACTTAACCACCAAAACCATTTATTAGCCATCACTAGGCTAATTTTCAATTTATATAATTTTTTTTAATCAATTAAAAACCTTTACTTAGTGCCACCAACTTTCACCATTAGCCCTTATAATGAAAACCAAACCTTAATTTAAATCTTATTGGGCTCAAATAGCAAAATTATAACTAAATCAATAGGCTTAAACCATTGAAGAGCAAAAACCCAATTTCTCAGGATTTATTTTGTGTCCAAAACACCTCTTTTCATCTAATTATCCACTCAAAATATTAGATCACTATATAGAAACTCAAAACATGCTCCCTAGGATCCAAAGAAACAAAAGCTTACAAGAATAAAGCCTTTGGAATCAAAATCCAAAAATCTCCTCTTCTAAAAATTGAAGAAAATCAAGAGAAAGAGAAGAGGATTGAAGTAGGGAGTTTACCTATCGTGTAGCCGAGCTCGCAACGGTCACAAAGACTCCTAGATCCGAGCCTAACTCCCTCTCTTTCTCCTTCCTTCTTCCTCTCTCTCTCTCTCTCACGTGTTTCCTTTCTTTCCTTGTTTTCTTTTCTGCGTTCTGGTCTGGTTTTTCATCTTATAAAAGCTGATTTAAAAGTTTGGGGAAAATTACAAGAAATGGCCCAACATTTTTTATTATTGCACAAAAGCCCGGGTCAACTTTGGTAATTTTTCCCATAGTTAAAAATCAAATAAAACTAAACTTTTGCTTAGTAAAATTCAAACTCTGGACCTCTATCAAATTATTCTAAATTTTAATTTAATTATAGATATTTTATTTTATTTTTATTTATTTTTTTAAATAAATTTGAGTCTTAAAATTTTTAGGATGTTACAATCCTTAACTGTGTCTCCAAGACCATTGAAATCTAGATGGATTTTCGCATCTAGTATCCAAGATAGATAATTTTTCTCAGTAATGTCAAGAGCCACAAACTCAAGTTTCTAAAGATTCGATATATATAGATATTATAACAAAAATATGATAAGAGTTAAATGATATTCAAGATTAAACAAGTTTAAAAAGATCAGATGGTTAGAAAATAGATCAAATCATATATGAACATAAAAATTACTTTGCATTGAGAAACCTTGCTACAAAACCTGTAGATTACCACAGCTCTTGTGCTGATAACATGTTATAAAATTAAGCAACTAGAAAATAAAGATATTGAGAGAAGAAATAGAGACAAGAGAATAATAGAATTTCTTATGGATTATTGTGTCCTTCAATACAAATTACATGCCCTATTTATAGGCATGGTTTTACATATTAAAGATTACACAAATGATAAAAGAAAATAAAGGTAATCAACTCTCATGATGGTGGGAGTTTTATGGGAGGGCAGTCAACTCTCATGATAATGGGAGTTTCATGGGAGAAGATGAAAATGAAGAGGTGATGAAGATGGACATCTACTATCCTTGTAATATTTATAATAGTACAAATAATGGCCTATTTTCCTAGAGGGAACATAATTGCATATTAATTGATCATAGTAAAATTGACAAACTAGAACATATCCAACATTAACAGTTGAGATAATAACTTAACATGTACCGTCTTTTTTTATTATTTATTTTTCCAATAGCATAACAGGCAGTTAAATCATTTGTGAAATAATTTATTGATAACAAAACATTTAATTACAAGTGTATGTGTCTTCTGCGGCAATCCATTTTGCATATATGTTCATGTCAACTTGCAATTATACATAATTTTTTATTGAAAAAAAAAACTTTAAGTCCCTGCACTTTGATTGAATTTTGTTATTAGTCTCTGTACTTTTATTTTTCATTGTTTTAGGCTTTTCCATAAACAAAGTGTTGGGACCTTGGAGAAACCTAAAACAATAAAAAATAAATGTGAAGGGACCTAAAAAATTAAAAAAAAGTACAAGAACTAATAGCAAAACTTAAGCAAAGTGCAGAGATTTAAAGTTATGTTTTTCCTTTTATTATTATTATTATTATTATTATATATATATATATATATATATATATAATCTTCCAACATGTCCACGCAAAGTGCAAACTTTGGCATAGCACGCACTTACAAAACACAATATTATTAGAGCAGCATGTGTTGGTGGGTCTACATCTAATGTTGCTTTATGCCGTAACCACCAACCTGTAGGGTAAATGCCAAAAAGAATGGGACCAAAGCAAGAATTAAGTTATAATGTGGGCCAAATTAATAGAATATGTTGCCTCGTAATTATTATGTATTTATATTGCCTAGCTAGCTTGACTTCCGCAGAAATTTTTTGCCGCCTAGCTAGCTAGCTAGCTTGATGAGAGATCTAATTAATCATGCTATTTTAGGATCCAATATTTCATTTTAGGGAAAATGACAATAAAATTTTCCCAACTTATATAAATGATAAGATGGTTATTTAAAATGTTATAATTATATTGAAGTTCTTAGGGACTTTTGTGACAATAAATTTTAAAGTAAAAAGAGTATTTTATCCTAATTGAAAATGACAAGTCTCAATCATAACTTTTATTTAAAAAATAACAATTTTTATTATATGAATTATAAGAATTAAATAAAAAATTACTTGTCAAGTGTAATTTCTGTTATTAGAATAAACAAGCCCCAATCATAGGAGTGTTTTTTGTTAGAGGCACTCCCATATAGTTTATCTTTAAGAGCATCAATTTTTAAGAGCATTTTTTGACATTAGAGCTCTGATATGAGCATTATTTGACATAAATTTTCTCAAGTTCAAGCATTCAAACACAATTAGAATTTTAATTATAATATTTCTACATATATAAGACATTTAATTCTGCATCTCAACGTTGCCAACCATAGTTGTAAGACCAACCCAGCATAAATATATATTCATCTGCACAATATAAGTTGTATAATAATGTTGATAAATTTATACGTTAGTTGATTTTTAGACTTGATTTGAAGAAGTTGGATATCAATTGATATGTTTTATAGAAAGCATGAAAGTTAGCTGCTTAATTTTCAAAATTATCAATATATATGTTGTTGGTCCAGATAGAAAGAGTTATACTACTGACATATGAAGTCTCATATTTGAATCCATGTAAGTGCAAAAAAAAATGACCTTAAGAAAGCTATTCCCGGTTAGGGCCTACAATATAATTCTCAAAAATATCATACACACAGCCCATAAAGAAATATTCAAAATCTCCCATTTTTTTATCCATCAAGGGATAAGCTGTAAGCGTACAAGTAAAACTGCTTCCAAAATAATCAAATGAAAAAAACAAACAAAAAGAATATAACTCTCGTTGCCTTTTTATAAAACCCTATAAAAAAAATCTCATCAATTAAAAAAAGTTATACAGTTAAGTATTTTTACACATCCATCCATCACAATAACTTTCAATTCTCAACTAACATTGTCTTTTTTTTTTTTTTAAATCTTTCTTGACATAGAATCAATAGAAAGGTGGCGGAGAGCACAGGTGAGCGTTTGGGGTGGACTACAAACGACGAGCCTATAAGGCTCTGACACACCGTTTGTGGGCTCTTTCCATGTGGGACCAGGGCCATACTTTTCTCAATACCTACTTCCATCCGCATTAGTGCGAACACAGAGTCTCATTTTTTCCTATCAAAAAAAAAAAAAACATATATCATTTTTTTAAATAAAATAACTAAATAAAACCCTGACTGAGGAAAAAGTTCTTTAGTCAAACACGGATTCAAATTTTCTGAAATTCAAATATGTAAATTTATGTAAAGTTTATCTTTTCAAAGAAAAAAGATTTTATATTTTATAAAAAATAATAAAATGAGAAAATATTAAAAATGTAAACTTTTTTAGAAATTCACCGATTCTATTTTAAGGGATTTAAATCCAATCAAAAATTATGAATATATATTTACTAAAAAAAATGGATATTATTAGGTGTGGACGGGTCCATGATAAGTAGCAGTGATTGGTCGTTGCATGGAGGAACATAAGATATTTATTCCCTGTTTCATCAAAACGATAGACGCTCTGATTCCCTGTATTCCATATATATCCTGATTCCTGAGTCCAGATTTACCCATCCACCCCACAACCTCTCTTCTCTTCACTTCTCTCAAAACCTTCTTTTTTTTTTTCTCCCTTAAATAGTCAGTTTTCTGAATTATTTTTAAATTATTTGTGAGGTTTGTTCTCTTAAAACAGAAAGTAAGGCATTGTTTATAATTTAGTCCAAATTTACGTTTTAGGAACAGTATGCTGAACCATACATTAGTATGGTGTTTTTTTGTTTTTTTTTTTTGAATTAAAGAGCAAAAATGTTGTAGAACTTTTTCGTAAGAGACATTTGGCATCTTAAATTATATTGTTGAAGTAACATCGCCCCGAAACTTTAAAAAAGAGTGCAATTTTTCAGCAACCATTAACCCACAGTCATTTGACGGTTAAATATTTTCGTCGACCTATCAAGTTACACGTGTCACTCCCTGATTTCTCCTTCTCTCTCCCTTCTCCCTTCTTCTTCTCTCTCTTCTGCCTGGACAAGGACAACACAAAAAGGACGAGACTCTCATTTTCAACTTCACTTTTGTGGTTGCTCAATTGGTTTTCCTGCTACGATGCTAGGACTGATTTTAGAAGAGAAGGTCGTTAATTTTATGCTGGCATTTAAAGTAGTCACCTGAAATGCCTGCGCAGTGGAAAGCAAACGAGCTGATAAGGTGCTGAAAATGAACGTAGAGCAGACCCAATGTCCGCGGGAACACAACGGAGTCTCTTTCACTTCCTTTGACTCTCTGACTCCTACCCCATTTTGGTTGTTATTTCAACTTTTCCACTAACATTGTCACCTTCTAAATTTTGAAACTTTTTCATCGTTATTACTGTTTGTCCCTCAATTCAATATTCTGTTTTTGGTTCCCCCAGAGACAGAGGTTTATCGGTTTCCAAGGCTATAGATTTGGGCTCTGAGATTTCTAATGTGGGAATCAGCCCTCGAATCTCCTCCCATGCTTTGAAGAATGATAAGGACGACGACCACGATGACCCACTTGAAGATCACCGTCGCCGGCGAACGGACTTTTGCCTGCTGGAATCTAGCAGCTTTGACTTTGTCTTCTGCATTTCCAATAATGTGTTGCCTCAAGATCTGTCTTCGGCCGATGAGCTTTTCTCCAATGGCAAGATCGTGCCTATGGAAATTAAAAAAATCGAAATATCTGAATCCTTCTTCTTCTGCTTACAGTGAGATTCATCCTGTTTGTGTCATCCTTGGCCATACAGAAGAGAGAGAAGAAGAAGAAAGAAGAAGAGAGAAGGAGAAATCAGTAAGTGACATGTGTAATTTGATAAATATTTAATGGTCAATGCGTTAAGGTTTAGGATAAAATTGCACTATTTTTTAAAATTCTGATAGGATGTTACTCTAATAAAAAAATTTGGATATTAAATGTTTTTTGTGAAAAAAGTTTCAAAATATTTTTATCTTTTAACCTTTTCTTGTTCTTTTTTTTTTTAAAAAAAATATAATCCGGTTCGTATTGTTTGTTTTGTTTACATGATTTCTTAATTCTTACATAGGTGCTCAACATTGTCTCAATTGTAATTATAAGATTTAGAGTTTTTTAAAGTGACAACATATTTGAGAAATGATCTATAAAATTTATGATTTATAGAAATATATTTTTTAAATAAATTTTATTAATATTTTCGTGATGGTGATACTGATTGAAGATGCCTTATTTGTTGCAAGAGATGTTCTGCGTTCCTATTACTTGGCCAGAAGAACAAATACTTTTTAGACCCAATAGAGCAGCTATACGTGGTCAAATTCAATCGTGTATCGTTT